CACCCCCTTCCACCCTTCCGCCAGCAAACCTAAACAAACAAAAAACCCCTGTGGCCATAAAAAACCCAATCTTTGCAGTGATCAAAGTCTGGCTTTTCAGAATATGTAGGACTAAAACTTATATGCAAACATTTCTGCTGAGTGCTGAGGTCATAGCTCGCTGCCACCTCTGATGTTGGAAACTGTTCTGAACCAAGACCTTACAGGTGGCTCAGAAGCCATTCTATACGATTTTTTCCTTCCTGAATGTGGAAACTTGAAACTGTGAAAACATTGGCCACTAACAAACAAAACAAATGGGCAGAAGAAATGTAGTCATCTTGCAATGTTTTTCTAAATTGTATAAAGTTGACTTTCATATTTATGTGTCTCTCACTCCCAGTTTACTTTTGCCTCCTCAGTGTATCTGTTTGCACAGAATTTTCCATCATAAGTGTTTCTGAATGCCATTCTGAAGCTGACTGGCTCCCTAGATATTTTGCCTATGTGTTACCCTTCTAGTAACCAGAAATATACCAGTCTGCCTGCCTCAGACTAAGTTCTTGGTTCATCTGTGCAATTCGTATGATGAAATAATGTGTCTAAAACTTCTGAGCTTGTATTTAAATAATAAAGTCTAATTATTTCCAACAACAACTTTGGGAGTACCTGCTTGGAATTTGAGGGACTACAAGATGGGTTGGGCTAAACTTGAATTGCTTCTTGGTACTTCCAGGAACTTGACAAGTGTTTCTGTTTCAGCTGAGGGAGGGTCAGGATGAAACAGTTTATGCAGTGTATTTTGCATGAGTTACTACTTTGCTAGAAGGCAGATGGTCTTTTCAAATGGAAATTGCTGATGTTCCAGCAATACCCTATTGCATTCACTCTTTGAAGATTTCACCTGTACTTCCTTCATATGAAGAAATAAACTGATTGTATAAAAGTTACAAACCTTGACTAGGGAATGCATTTCTTAAAGCAAACTTCTTTGGTTTTGATCAAGGTACAATGTTTATGTGTTGTGCTTTCTGACGTCTCTGTTGGTATACTTTATAATGGAAAAGCAAATTACAAATTTTCTTCCTTCTTCTAGCCGAATAGCGAATTCCTCCTACCTCCTCCAGTGTTATCTTGTACTACATTAAGCCAAACTAAGGCAGATGATAAAAAGGATTTTTGTTACATTAGTGAACTAACACCTAACATTTGAAAAAACTCTCTAGAACTGCTTTTTTATCTTAATAAGAATTAATGAAAAGACCTAAGAACGTGTCTGTTATTATGGGCTAATATCTGAAGGACCCATTGAAAAATGACTGGTCTGCTTGTTTGACTTTCTTAAACAAGGATTATTTGGAGGAAAAAAGATAAGCTATAAATTATTTACTTGACAAACATGTGAAGTAAATATGCTACTTACAGTAGTAATTTGGAATGTACTGGTCAATGTTGTTTAGCAAGAAAAGAAAAAGAAAATTATCCTTGTTAATTTGGGATTTTGGCTTCTGTAAGTTTCCATTAAAAAGGAGGAGGTGCTATGCTATGCTTTTTTCAGTGACATAGTAGGTAGGTAAATTAGTAAATTTCTATACTCTAGCCTTTTGGCTAGAACCCTATTTTTTTTTGGCTAAAACCCTATTTTTTTATTAAGGAGTAATGGCTAAAAATACATGCATAGAATTATTCAATGTGACTAATTGTTTTTTTCCTTTTATCTTGCAGCAACGCACCTCTTGCTTTTTCCTCCAAAGTATGTTATATTAAGTTTCGTGAAGCATCGAGTGTTGGTGTGGCCCAGCATCTAACTAACACGGTTTTTATTGACAGAGCTTTGATAGTTGTGCCCTGTGCAGAAGGTTAGTATTTTAGATATTACTCTGTAATGTTGGTCTTTGTCGTGTCTGCTAATTGTTTTAAGCTTTCCATGTAAAGAGGTGGTGCTCTGTTGTTATTTTATTTTATTTTATTGCTTTTTGAAAAAAAGTCTTGAAACAAAATTGAAAATTAAATGAAGAAACCCAGTTATGTAGATTGAATTGAAATTCAGCATTAGAAAAAAGACAGTTGATTTAAATTAGGATAATTCAATTTTCCATGGTTATTACATATTTTGAAGTAAAAGAAGGTAAAATAATTCCCTTCAATATGGTTTGTATTGGCAAGCTTATTCTAACACAGAGTTCTCACTGAAGTCAATGGAGCACTGAAAAGATTAGGCAATTTCCTGGCACTGATAACATTGCAGTTTGGATCTTAATGTATCACCTTTGGTGTGGTGGGGTTTTTTGGTTTGTTTGTTTGGGTTTTTTAAGATACTGATTATTTTTCCTTTTTTTTAGACTGAATCCCAGTCTTGTCTTGTAGACATGTGATACATGCATTTGGCCTTTTTAGATTAATCTAATCTAAAATACTTAGCATTCCTGGTGATAATTACTGTTTGAATATGTGTGTTTGCCTGCTAGTTTAATTTTAAAAATTCAATTTTCCTTTCTTGTTATTGTGAAAAATATTACTTTGTGTGCCATAAAAAGGCTTTCTTAGGTATCCTGGTACCCCATTTTGGATTTAGATATCTCTTTAAAAATGCAGTGATCTGTATAGAATGCTTTGAACATAAAATATTTTTAAAACTCTTAGTCAAATAAAATGCTTGGTGAATACTAAATGTGTTCCTTTGACTAGCTTTGAGGCCATACTTCTATGTGTTGAATACAACGTGGTTCATATTGTTAGTGTAATATCCCAGATCTGAATACAGTTATATGAAGCATGGCCCTATGGTAGGCATGTCGCTGGATTTAGGCAGGGCCCCATTGACTTCATTGGGATCACTGTGGAACTGAGGATCTGCCCATTTGGTTCTGGACTTTTTGCCTCTTTGGAGTGGAAACGTACCAGCTGGTGGAGTAAACCTAACTTCACTTTGAACATATTAGCTGTTTTGTCATGAACAACTTTATTTAGAATGATTGAACCATAAACTGTAGCAAGTCCAGAAATACCTCCTGTTAACATAATTTCTCTTAACTGCAAGAGTCAGGCTTTGTTTCAAAAAATACTGTTGACTTCTTGGAGTTTGCTAACAGTGGTCCCAGAGTACCACTTTTTGGCATGTTTGCCACATCATGATCTGGATAGTATGAGACTAGTGCTGTTGTAAATAATGGTCTGGGATGTTCCTTGCACACTCTGACAAGTCTCCAAAATCTCATAGACTCTATAAGTACTTTTACTAAAGGGTGTATTGACCTACTGCCTATTCTTGTAGCCTTCTTAATAGGGCATCTGGCACATATATTTGTCTTTGTGAAGCCTAGATTTTTAGTTGCTTTTATGCCTTGTTTTGGGGGCTTTTTGATTTTATTTTTTGAACTTGTTCTTAAACCACAAAGAGGATATTGCTGTATCTGCTTGAAGCTCTGTAGAGGCTAATGGGACCAGAGTCCTTATTACTGAAAAATTTCCCCTAAATAATTGACTACAAATTACGCAGGATCTTAGTTTTACATTTCATCGAAAAGACCTTAACACTGGTTCAGTGTTGCCAGAGAGGGAAGATTGCCACCTAATGAATGAACAACACTTGCTGGTGTTTTTCTTGTGATGAGATTACTGCCTGACATGATATGGCAACGGGCAGGTAAAGGTCCATTTTCCTGTGTCTCTTGGTGGTAGACAATGAATGGAAGAATAAAATTAAAGTTTTGACAAATCTTTTTCCAACCCCATTTGTAGCTGACTTATTAGGCATTTCTCAGAAAACGTATTACAGAAAAATTGTCACTGTTCAAAATCATTCTGGACCTCACAGAGATTTATGCATAATTAGGTGAACAAGTGATTTGGTTGTGAGTTCAAATTTTTTTTAAAGTCAGAATGCTGGTTCTATGTAACTTCCTAACAGAGTCACTAACTTTAATTTATAATGATGTGAATTTATATAGGTTTAACTTTCTGAGGAATTTATCGTGTGGAATAAGTATGGCTTTGGAGACCATAGCGCAAGAGTTTTGATTCATTATGTGTCATATGATGCATTGTTAATGGAGTCAGTGGAGTGTATCATGGGCTTTAATAGTAGTGATGGCTGTATTCTACCAGGAGGTAAAATTATACACCTGGCCAATGGTGCCAGTAATAAAACATCTCATGCGCCGAATTGAACATAGAAGAGAGGTAAAACAGAACTCTGAAAACTTGGTTTTAAAAACCAGAATAAAATCTGAAATTTGGAGTGTATTTAGACAGTGGTAAATCAAGGGAGTATAAGGAGGGAATTACTACACAATGAAAACAATTTTGTGACGTTTAGTAAATAATTTAACAAAAATGTAATTGTAATGAAGTAACATTATTAAAGTGTCAAAATATGACTTGTGTGTGTGTATCGGTAGGTTTTTCTTTAAAAGTTATACTTTGAGAACACAAAGGTTGAAAGATAAACAAAGATGCCACCCTAATCATTCTAAATTTTATGTCCACATTATCTGGTAGATGGATTTTGACTATTAATTTGGTTTTGTATGTTTTCTCTGTGTGATATTTGTGCATTATTAGATGACTAGACTGGCCAAGGCAGACCTGTTACACTTGCCTGAGTTAGGCATTGTTTGCCATGCCACTAAACCTGCCGCCAAGTGAAACCTTCATGGGGGAAATGAGATCGAAGTCTGGCCTGCTGAAGATGGACGCCCTGTCTCTGTTTTTATTTTATTTTGCTTTCTTTCCTTTGTTTCTTTTATTTTTATTTTATTTTGTCCCTTTTTTTGTTTTGTTCTGTTAAATCTCTTTTTCCCTTGTACTTGTGAACTGGTACTTCAGTTCTGTAAAAATGGTGTTTTGTAAAGGGTTCACAGTGTTTCATTTTGAAGTTGACCTGAAGCTGCTTATGAATGGTGGATGGTATACACAGAATTTAGAATATGATTGATTTTCATGCTGTGAATTACAGATAAATTTGATTTGGAATGCGTTTAAGCATCTAAATTCAACAGATGAGCACATTGTGTCAGAAGACAGGAATAGTGAAAAAATATATCCATTTTAAGAATCATTCTTTCGTATGTTATGCCTTATGAGTTTATCTTGGGAAAGGACAGTTGAAACTCTTAATTCTGGAGAAATTTGCTTTACGAAGAAAAGTCATGATCTTTCTCTGCTATTTGTCTTCTCAGCAGAGTAGTTTTATTTTGGGTTGCACGGTCTGTTTAAAAGAAGGCTTACTATTTGTGTCTGATACGAAGAGTTTAAATTAATTCTTCCTGAAATTCAACTTTCATGAATATTGAATGTCATGAAATACTTGTTTGCTTCTGATGAAACCTTACTCCAGTGAGGTCCGTGGCAGTAAGATTTCATCCTTTTGTTTTTGTAATTTTCAGAACAATCTGTTTACCACTCATAAGTACAAATGCTGCCTGAAGTTTTGGTTGGAATGTGTTATGTAAGGCACATTGTCTTTTAACACTGTTATTTGTGGGAAGATTGAATCAGTTCTCTCTGTGTGTGTGTGTATGTATGTGTATATTGCCCTTCGACATGCTCCAGTGGTGGTTATTTCAAGAAGAGGTTTTTTCTTTTAAAAAAAAAAAAAAAGGAAGAAAAAAATGTGTCTTCTCGGTCATCTCACAATCTCAGAAGCCCTGACAGTTCATGCTGGAGTGATTGAGAAGGTTCTCATCCCTAAATGGCGTTCTTACTTCTTGTGAAATGGAAGCCCTGAAACAGAAGTGGTGGACCAGGTGGTGTGTCTAGTCCTCAGGCATTGCTCTTCCCAGCCAGCTGCATTGGGATCAATTGGTTTCACTCCGGTAATGCGCCAGGCTGTGCACTGCAGCTGGGAAGAGCTTTGCTTCCTGATCTCTGTTGGATTTAGCTGTGGCAGTTGAGGTAATTGCTAGTAGGTGTAATCATTTTAATCACTGCTGCTAAATCCAATAAGAATCATGAATTGGATCACACAGAAATTATTTTATTTGTAAGTGTGCATTTTCCATTGATTTAAAATAGCAGGAAAATAACAATTCCTTTAATTATGTTTAGAGTAGATGTGAACTGTAAGTATTTTTAAACAAGCAAACTTATTGCAGAAGCAGTTTTGGGGTGGATGATTAACCATGTAGTTTAAGTAGAAAGAGTAGGAAATTAATTTCTTCTAAGCACTTGGAGGGGGATAAAAATACTGTGATTGGTACTTGCTTAACGCAGATACTTCTGTTCAGCATTTAGCAAAATGGGTTCTGGTATGGACTAGGTTGACTAGGGCTCTTAAGCACTTTGCTAATACAAAAAGTAATAATCAAGTTGAGGGCAACTGTACATTTCCTAAGAAACATAAGATGTCTCTAGGCAGTGCAGAGCTAATCTACATCTGCTTCCAGATTCCTTTGCAAAGTAAAGAATCAATAAATAAATTATCATAGAATCTGTAATTTACTAAACACAAGAGCTTCTAAGAAATCTTTCTAAGGATGTGGTATAGATGTGGCATATTTATTTTGTCTGTTTCCCTCATTAGAAAATAAGTATCTTTACCTCATTTCCATTCAGCTTTTAAATACCATGAGTTTAAAGAACGAAACAGTTATTCTTAAACTAAAGTGTCCTAATTTGTTGTGGCATAACCCACATGTTTTGTTTTATCTTTGTGGGCTTGTATTCCTTTTATAAATAAATTCATGGAGCTAAAACTCCAAAACTTAAAGCCTGTAACTTGTGAGGTTATTTGGCCTCACATTCTAATTTATTTTTCAAAACTGTCTGAAGAACAGGGAAGTAAATTTGCAAGATATTTCAGGTTTTCTTTTTTTTCCCCACAACAGTGTGTTTTCTGTAGAATTGTTAAAAAATTTGACCTGGTCTTCAAAACTGGAGAAGGATCTTTTGAAAAGACTTTGAATATACAGGCAAATTTTCAGGGTTCTGTCTGTAAAGGTAGACCCATTCTCATTCTTGAATAAAATAAACCTTTGTTTGTGGCATGGAACTGACCAACTAGATTTTGTATTTAAAGTAAAACATGACATTGTTGAAGGACCAAAGTATTCTGGAAATAATGCTGCTTAACTTTACAATTTAGATATGCATGTTACTCATTCTTTGAACTGCCGTAACAGTGCACTTAACCGAAAGTGTTCAGTGGATTCCTTGAGCAACATTTGAACAAATGAATAACTCCAGTTATTTCAGTAAGATAACCCGTGTACTTAAAGTTTAGGCTTGTATTTAAGTACCTTTCTGAACTTGACTCATTGTCTGTTTAGTTATGTGCCTAACTCAGTTCCTATTTAAAAGGGCTAAATGCCTAAGCATCTCTTAAGTTCATCTGGTTAAGTGTATTTTGAATTGGCTGTATGTAAGCACTTACTTAAATTAGGCATATACTTATGTATATTACTGGCCATGGATCTAAATTAGAATGCAGACACACCACTTTAGGAGCCATTTCTGCCATTGGGTTTACTTGAGCCATGCCTGTTGATCTTGTAGAAACCTGCATGAGTGTCCAGTTAATTGCAAGATACTAGCTGTTCAGGATAAGGTCTGGTTCATTAGTCATTTGAAAACACTTTTAAGTTTTTCAATTTTCAGAAGAACTGGTACATAATTCTATGCCTAATTTGCATGCACAGCTGCTGGAACTGTATATTTGGAAGCCTGTTAGTTAGCTACATATTAGGCAGGATGTGCAGGAAAGTACCTGATACTCATGAGCAGTCAGGCAAATCAGGTATACCTCTCATTGCATGCCTGACTTCAAAATGAGATCTGTAAAGAGTACTGAACATTGTGATGATGACTCAGATTCATGCATGTTTTTTAAAAAGCCCTGGAAGTCGTTATTGCACAGTTAATTCTTAAGTGCTAATAATTTTCCTATTTTTCTCCTTTAGATAGCAAACTCAAGTGGTTTGTTACATGTTAAGGAGCAAGGTGCCTCAAAATTTAACATAAATAAAATAGATGTAAATAGGAAGCATGAGGAAAAAAAAATGGGTACTGTTATTTTATCTTTTCTATTCCACCCATGCTACATATAAATTAAGTTTCATTTAGATTTGTTTCGTCCTTTGGTCATATCCAACTGTAACTCAGTCCTTGCTGCAGATCTGTAGAACAGGTTTGCAACACTTTTTTCTTCTTTTTATTTTTTTAAAGTAGTATGTTTCCTATGGGGTCTATTGGAACTTGTATAGCTAAAACTGCACAGTGTTTTGAAACTTACCTCATATTTTGCTTTTTGATAAAAATATTTATATATTAATTTTTAAATCCTGAAGTTAGGGGGTTTATAGTTAAAAGATATACAGTTTGAACCAAAGCAGTAAAAGCCACTGGCACAGTATGTGTGTATACCTTTTATTTAAAAGCATTTATTTTATTATAAAGTGCATGGGGTAATACCAAAAGGTTCAGCTGGATAGCAAATCTACAATTATGCCAGTAATTTTGAATAGTTCATAGAAACCTAGTATAATTAGAGCTTCTTTCTGTAGTTTTTCAGTTTAGTGTTTAATGTTTGTATCAGTTTAAATCAATTGCTTTTCAAATTTAATATGTACATTTAATTGTAATCATAATTGTTTAACTATTAAATCTTTTGATTTTTTGAAGATTTTCGGGGTTCATTTAGCAGTCTGATTGTGACTAATATTGAATGAAACCTGCGCTTGATTCAGATTAGATATTACTTAAACTTCTGGCATGATGGGGGAGTATAATCTGGTTGAAATAGTAGGAAATACATATTTTGGGAAAATACAGGTTGCTTAGCTGATAAGTTATGATTTTCTTCAATCTCAGTAAATTTAAAGCTAATTTATCAAAGTTTCATGTAAACTGAGGTGTCTTAGAATCTCAGACAGTACAAATCTAAATTTTTTTCTGCCTTCCCTTCTTCCACCTTCAGTTTTGCTTGTAGTATGTATTGTGTACAGTCACAGTAGTCCAGTATTTTTTATTTTATTTTTATTTATTTTTACATCCAAAGTAGGTAGCACCAAAGGAATAAAAAAAAGCACAAATTTCAGTTAGCACATACTTTGGTTTTTTTTTTTTTTCTTTTCTTTTACTGATTTGGTTATTTGCCATTTCTGGGGATTAAACTTTAAAAAATGTTCTTCTTTTCTGTATCTGATGTTCTGTGTGCTATTAGTGATGCAGCCAACACGAACGGTTGTCATGTGTAAAACAACTTTCGATCACCGCGAAAACACCGCCCTGGGAAAGCGTCCATGCTTGATATCGTTTGGTTCATGAACATTAAGTTTCCAGTACAGGTGACCCATAGCTCAAAGTGTTAAATAATTGTATACATTATTCAGTTTTTAAAATAATAATCCATTAATGAGATTGCTAGTCTTTGAAGTTTTGCTCACTTTTGTTTTTCCTAGTAGAGCAGGGTAAAAGGAAAAACTTAAGTTCTTATTTGTTTCTTTGTAAGGATCTGGTAGATAGATTCATTGTTATTTATTACATTTTTAAATGCAAGGGTAATTGTAAAATCATAGAAAGAGTAACATCTGTGTAGTGTTCCAACTCTGTGTAACGCTTTCATTTGCTTCTTCAGGTAAAATCCCAGATGAAGCCAAAGCCCTTTCTCTCTTGGCGCCTGCTCCTACTATGACAAGCCTGATGCCTGGTGCAGGGTTGCTTCCTATACCTACACCAACCCCTTTGACTACAGTAAGTAAAGTTCAGTTGATAATTGTTTTCTGGTTTCCTCTATACTCAGTAGCCTTTTCTGCGTTCAGAGAACAAGAACTATCTGATCCATGGATGTTGTCCTCTTACATGCTAGATCCTGAGGGTTTAGCTGTGGTGCCTCTTTTGAGGGTAAATCACAAGATGTCTATGCACTACCTTTCCTGGGTTTTTCTTTCAGATTATTATTCTGCAAAATAGTGGGTAAATAATGGTTTTGGTTGTGTCCGTTTTAATTATTGTCCTTCCCTAGACCCATTAATTTGCAGTGGCAGTGCTATCCACTTTAAAAATTTCTTAAGACATAATAGTTACATTGACACAGTTCTTTGGAATATTAAAATGCTGCATTATGGTGCTTTTACTTGATATCCCTACGACAGGGCTTTTGACTGTTTGCCTAACAATGTTTTCACTACAAAAAGCATAGGAGCTAGCTGCTGCTACTTCTGCTCATTTCCCTTTTGCCTCTATAATACTTCCTTGACATCAGCAGGCTGCTGTGACCTATTCAGGGAAAACTTCAAGTTATAATAGAATAGTTTTCTCTTGTGACATGAAAAAAAATTACTGGTGGCTTGTTGAGAATTTATCACACTTGTTAGAAAATCTGTTTGCTGGAAAGGAAGTCGCTTTTGGGTGGAGCAAAAAAAATTCAAACTAGGAACTCAGCAGACCAATTTAGTAGTGATTTTAAGTGGCATTTTTTACAACATTCCTCAGGAAAGATTTCAATTATCAGTTCCAAAAATGAGAGCTGTATTGCCCTCATTCTCTAGGAAGTGACTGTGTTTCTAGGGAAAGAACTTAGACTTAATATCCTTCGCATTTCAACTGTAATTAATCTCGCCTTATGTGATGTGTTTGTCCAAAAGGTACCTTATCTGTCCCTTTGATGGACTGATATCTATTACAGAACAAATTGTCCCTGGGCACTGCAAATTCCCTTCTTTTGCTGGGCAAGGGCTCAGCAGTTCCTCATCTACTAATAATACTTGTTGTGGCAAAAAAAAAAAAAAAATAATAGTAGCAATGTCTGAAGGCATCTTACTCAACTTGATTGACTGCAAGCATTAGAAATTCAAGCCTATGTGTTTTCTGATTGATACACTGCATCCCTGGCCAGATTAACTGATAGCCCACAGAAGATGTTAACTATAGAAGGTTATTTATGGGTTTATTATTTTTAAAAAGTGCTCAGCTGGGGACTTATAGTTTAAAGTATTAGATTTTTTAGTTAGATTTAGTTTTACAGACATGCATAAGGCAGGCAAGTATTAACAAGTGAAGTATCTCCCACCAGTGCTTGATTGCAAAGCATATTCTGTTTCTGTGTTTTCCAGCTTGGTGTTTCACTTGGCACTTTGGGGGCTATACCAGCAGCAGCATTGGACCCTAACATTACAGCACTGGGAGAAATACCACAGCCACCAATTATGGGGAATGTGGATCCATCCAAAATTGATGAAATCAGGAGAACAGTCTATGTTGGAAACTTGAATTCCCAGGTAGCTTTTTTTTTGTGTAATGGAAATACTAATGGAAGGTGTAGAATTGTAATTTATGAATTCTGATCTTACATGGTAAAGAGTTTTCATTAGTTGATGACAGTAGGAATTTAAACAAACAAAAAAAAGTGTCTTTTTGGTTACTAGTGATATTTTGAATTTTGAATACTCCTGTGCCAATCAGGTCAGACCAGATGGTAGAAATTCATTCTAGCAGGATATCAGAGAAATCACACTGTAGCTGAATTCAAAAGAAACATACTTATGATTGTGTGTGTTGATCAAATGTCCAGCTGGGTTGTGTTAGCTGAGTAATGCCTCAGAAGTCATGAGATCCTGGTAGCTGTCCACCACAACACTGTGCAGTTGCCTAAGTGCAGTAAAAGGGAATGATGTGTCCTAGTGGAAGTTGCAAAATTAGCATAAATAGCTTCGAGTTTCTAAAACAGGAAAGTTAGGTCTGTCAGAAACTTGTTTTTTCAGCAATTTATTGAATTAATTAAAAACCAATTTACTTTTGACTGATGGCAATACAAGTATTTTATTTTGTTTTTTTTTTGACTGCCAAACTAGCTACTAGAGTGTAAAAGTACTGTTGATACCAATAAAATAAACCGAGTGGGAAGCTAATAGAAAAGCACTGTGTGGATGTTTTTTTTTTTAATTGATCAAAATTCACAGTCAGTAGCTTGGAAACAGGTGTATAAGGAAATTCCTCATCAGTTATTTTAAATGAGTTGCCTGAAAAGTGCAAAATCCTATGCAAATGCTTTTTTAACCTAGATGTAGGAATTCAGGGCTTGTGGTTGCACTATTTTATATTGTAGTATGTTCTTTAGATCAATGGAAGAAAAAGTACACATTTTTCTTAATGTGTAACATTACCAAATTCATGTCGCCTTTGTAATAATGATGAGATATCTTTCCAAAATCTGTAGCTCTTAGATTACCTGATATATTGGAAAAGTGGTTTTCATTACCTATTTCACTTCAGCTGAGCTCTTTGACTCTTTCTAGACCACAACAGCAGATCAGCTGCTTGAATTCTTTAAGCAAGTTGGAGAAGTGAAATTTGTGCGAATGGCGGGTGATGAGACGCAACCAACACGATTTGCTTTTGTGGAATTTGCAGACCAAAACTCTGTACCTCGAGCTCTTGCCTTTAATGGAGTTATGTTTGGAGACAGGCCACTGAAGTAAGAAATTAATTATCCATAAGACTGTTGAATGAAAGATTTCTTTGTATCCTCATACATTTATGACTCTGATGTGCATGAGTATTTTTTCAATACAAGGACCTATTGTTAGCAAACGGGAACATTTTTATAAACTCCAATTTCAAGGTTGGGCATATCTTTCTCTGAGAAGAGTATGAGTGGCATTGAGTAAAACATTTATATTTAATTTTGAGGTAGTGGAAGCTATTATACTGAAAGAATCTGCAAAGTCCTTAGTACTAATTAAGCTTTCTATATGATGTGTATGCAATTAGTAGGCCTTAACGTAGAGATTTTATCTGAAATAAATAGATTCCTAGACTTCTACTAGAAAATATTTTAACACAGATATATTGTGCCACATTTATTTAAAAGTCGTAAGATTTGAAAGCAATTAAAGACATTTCCGATACTTAGAACAGGTGAGTTTTAGGACAAATCTGTGTTTTTGCTGAACTTTGAAGTTTTTAGTTATACATGCAAGTTGATGTGTTTTCCTTTCTTAGTTGTTTTTAATTTTCTCTTTTCAAGTGTTTGGGAGTTAAAAGTTTTATTTTTCCTTAATTTAGAATAAATCACTCCAATAATGCAATAGTGAAGCCTCCTGAAATGACACCACAAGCTGCTGCCAAGGAACTGGAAGAAGTGATGAAGAGAGTAAGGGAAGCCCAGTCTTTCATATCTGCTGCTATTGAGCCAGGTAGGTATATTATGTTCATTACCTAACAGACACGTTCTTTGTGTACCTTGGCATACACTTTCATGAGCATTTTCAAACACAGGAAAAGGGTACTCAAAGGGGAACAATATGTGGTGGGGGGGTGGGGTGGGGATCAAAATTGTGTTCATGCAACAAAGCAATGGAATGAAGCTGACTTTTTATTTCATCATGTCTTATTTTCAGATACACAGTCACTGAATGTTTTCAAAAATACGTTAATACCAAATACTTAATGTTGGTGCTTTTTAAGTTCAAAGTACTTAGAAACTTTTAAAAGAAAATGCTTTATATTTTGTTTTGTTCTCCTCTACCACCCATTAATGCCATAGTTTCATGATGAGAGGGAGCTAGCATGGTTCTGAAAGCAGTAACATTATGCTGCAGCAGGTTAATTTTGTCCCTATTCTATGCTCTTTTGCATGCTTTCCCAAGACCATGTGCATCCTCATAGCAAATGGAATCAGAGAATGAGTCTGGGATAAAACTTAGCATATTGTAAAGGACTTTTTTTTTGTCCAGATTGGTTCCCTGATCCCTGTTAACACTGAGATGCTAGGTCAAGGAGGAAGGTGGTGTGTTGGTGGGTTGAGAGGTTAGTCGGACATTTCAGTGCTGATTTATGCTGACTTAAACTGATTGCAAAACCACAGCATAAAAAAAATTCTCAACTTGTTAAACTTGCAGTTGAGATCCTCCTCCTTTTCACCAGCAAGATTCTGTCACTCTTCTTACTAACAAACCCAGAGGTTGTCTTATGTAGGTTAGGTAGTGCAGAGCCTTGAAGGTCATTTTTGGCGGGGTGGGTGAGTATTTTCTGGGTTTTAGGGTTGGAAGAAAAATAGCGCTAACATTTCCTCAGTGTTAAGCGCGGAATAACAGTTTTTTAGAGTCTGAACCAAAGTCTGGTGTGAGGTCACTGTTAAGGTTTCTGTTGACTTCCTGGCCTTTGGATCAAACTTTTCACCCTGTTCTCTCCATCCCTTCCTCCCACAAAACAATGTTTGAGGAATAAAACTTGAATATTTGTACAGTGGTTGAAATATCTATAAGTATAGAAAGTACTAATTATTATTTACATTTTATGCTTGTTTTCAAAACTATGCCCTCTAAATTTACTCCATTCTTCTCAGGTTATTTAAAAAAAAAAGAAAGTAATTACATTAAATAATAGACCAAGAGGAGAACGTGTTGTGATCTTGTGCATTGTGGCAGCAACATAAATCCCATTCCTAATAGAGCTAGCTGTTTATAATTATCTGGTTTATGTGTACTGCTGCAGGATGGCTGCACTCAACGAGTATATGCAATGACTTTCTTGGATGTTTCTGAAGGATATTTGCAAAGAAGGAAGATGTGCAAAGAGTAGGCCCCTTGCACTATGTGTGGTACATTCCACTTGTGCCAGATTGTTAACTGGGATCTTTAAATGTTCTGAGCTTACACTGCAAAGTGGTTTTTTCCTCTCAGAGTCTGGAAAGAGCAGTGAAAGAAAAGGCGGTCGATCTCGTTCCCATTCTCGTTCAGAATCCAGGTCTAGCTCAAAATCCCGATCTAGAAGGAAAAGATCACACTCAAAACACAGGTAGGTATGGTTTTTATTTTGGACTAAGAGATCATACTGGGTTTTTTTGCGTGATGGTAGTTCTGAAATTTCTTACTGAGTTACAAGGCAAGTATCCCTGGTGAGCAGATAGGAACTTTGTCTCTGAGCAGGTACTCTCTCCCTTTAAGTGCTAAATGTCTTCAGGATTACCTTCAGTTAAAACACACTAGAAGGCACTTTTTTGTGCTGTGTAGGATAACCAGTTCTGTGGTTTCATGGCACATTTTGTGACCTGTATTTTAAAAATAAATAGTTACCTGTATTTTGTGAGTCGAACATGTAGTTTACTATTAACACCCTGAGCAGATAGGCTGGCTGGTTTTGCTAGTAGAAAGTTCCTGATGTCCTGAACTTCTAAATATAGAGTTAAAAAATGCAGTATTTTTATTTACTGTACTGTAAATGTAAAGCTATGTTTTTTAAAAGCAGAAGAAAAAGGCTTTAGGGGCAGTTTTTCATTCTTCAGATTTTGTTTGCTTGGCTGAATTGGTTCAGTTCTGAAACAGGCTTTGGAATATGGGAGGAAATAAAATCAGTAGATCACCCTTAAAGTATACTCACTAAGATTTTTTCCAAGAATGAGACAGTCTTGCTATGTGAGACTTACAAACGCTTCCTGAAATGGTTCAGATTCTTTCAATGTCAGGAATGTCTTCTGAGCATCTGTGTAATCAATCTGAACATACTTGGCTACATTAAGTATTAAAAAACCAAAAGAAATTCAGAATGTATTTGGTAGCTTACACTTTAAAAAGGTGAGTGTTGTCAGTGTTGCAGCAACAGCTCTGTTGCATCCTTTCATGCATCGTATTTTAACAAGGCAACTAGAATTCTTTTAGATACAGAAAAGCTGACCGGAGAGAGTTACCATCAATTATACTACCAAACAAATACGATACAAGTGCAGGCTTCAGTTTTGCAATAGTGAGACACCACTGTACATGTTATCTAATGACATCAAAATATTAAGTACCTTTTTAATGCAAGAAGACTTATTTGGTCACTTCCTTATTGCTTGCTTCTGTGCTGTTTCTCTAACTCAGGACATAACTGAAAAACAATCTTTGTTTTGTATAACAAACCAAATCAATTCTTAGAAGATAAACTTGCATTTTTTTACTTGTGGAAAACCCGTGCTTTAAACAACTGTTGATGGTTATATTTTGGTGGTGGTTTTTTTTGTTTAAATGATTTACCACTACTACTGTCAGTTTTGAGAACATGCTGAAAAAAGGCCAGTTTGATCTGTTGAGGCAACTTCATCCCTAAGAATAAACTATCCTTACCACTTTCCTGTTTTACTGTTTTATAAAACACTTAAATCATTTTTGTCTTTATGATACAAAATTTATTCAAGGTGTTAATTTTGACTCAACTGTAATTAATTTGCCCTGTACTTAGTTTGTATTTCTGAACTGATAAGCAGAGCAAAGCTGTAGGTAAAAAAAGGTTGCCTCCCCTCTCCTCTTGGTATGTATTACTCTGTGTGTCTTGAGCTGCAGGAGACGGGTAGAGCTGGTATTTTTTGTACCTCCCTGTTCTTCAGGATTTATTGAGTAATATACATGGCCTTTCTGTCTTTGGTAAGTTAAACTTCATGGTACCTTAACCTCTCAGGCAAAGTATCCAATGGTGTGGTTTTTTGAAACTTAATGTTCAAATTCAGCTTTTTATTTTTGCTTTTCTAGGGAGTATGATCTTGCAAAAATAGGGAATATTTTGGAAAAAAACAATACAGTAATTTTTAAAAGTCTTATTCATCATATCTGTGACTATACTATGTGTATCAGAAGACTTTAATTGGATTTTTATCTGTATCTGCACATTATTTGCATTCCTTATTTGTCATGTAGTAAATGCTCATTCCATTCCTTGAGAATTCTTATAATTTAAATCCATGCTAACAAGTCCTTTCAACTGAAAAGGTAACTTGACTAAATGCTGAACCATAGATAGTGGGGGTTTTTTGTTTGTTTTGGTTTGATTTTTTTTAAGCTTCATTTAAATTGTAAGGCTGGAGAACAAAGCAAAAAGAGACCACTTAAAGCCATCTTTCTCCAGTGACCAAGACTGCAGTAAGTGACTGGATGTGGAAGGGAAACAAAATGTAACTAATTATTTTTACAACCTACTAGAAATTGTCTATAGTAGATTTTATGCACTGTAATTTGCTGAGGACAGCTATCCTAATATGACAAGAGTTTCTATTTTCCAGAGTGTTCATGGAAGTTATTATGAAACATGGGTATTGCTTAAATGGTGCATTGTTTCAAAAGAGGGCACATGCACCTGGTGAACAATAAAGTGTCCATATATGCAAAAATGTTGGTAGGCTAGGGAAGTGCAGAGCCCTTACGCTGAGGTGTAACTCTTTATATAATTTTCTGTAGTGAGGCAAGATTTATGGGTTTTTTTTCCTTTGTTGGTTGACCTAATTTTTATGAAGTTTCATATTAAAGTATTTTTCTTCTGGCAATGTTCATTTAGAAGTAGATCTGGCAACAGATCACTCTCAAGACACAAGGATAGACGCAGATCCAGAAGTCCCCTGAAAAAACGGTCTAGATCTAGGGAAAGGCGGAAATCAAGAAGTCGCTCTCATTCTCGGTGAGTTCCATTCCTACGAAATACCGTTCTCCTTAGCACGCAGTACAGAGTTTTTGAAAAAAATCTAACAAACCTTTTAGGTGATGGTAAAAGGTGGAATCTCTAAATGCTTTAGCCTGTCCCTAGGCTTTGTCTGTGGAACAAAAGAATAGAAACTAAATTTTAATGCTGAGTGTACTGGTTTTAGCTGGCATAGAGTTCATTTTCTTCATAGTAGCTCATATGGTGCCTACAGGGGTTAAACCACCACACTGAGGTGCCTAAATTTTGATAGGCTAGTCTACATTTATACCCATGTGCAAGGTGACTGACAATAGGTAACTTTAATTGCCAGACTTTAACCAATAGATTAGGAATCTTCTGTGTAGCTTGTGCAACCCACAAAAAGTGGATGATGTTTGTTCAATCTGTGTCTGTTGAGAAGGCTGGATTCAGGCTGAACTTGATCCCACATTCTGAGAACTTGTATAAAGTTTTTGTGCATGAGCTTTTATTTTCACCTTTGGCTGTCTCATATTGGCTGTGCACTGCTGTGGGCACAAATGCATGTGTCTGTTACATGGCTTATTTGCCTTTCAGGATCTAATACACCTATATTTACCTAGTTTGTTATTTTTTAAGTCTGATTGTCTAATTATTGAACTGTGAAATTCCAACAAGATAACATAATTTTCTGAGGGATGAAGCAGTGAATATTCACAAAAGTGCTTATGAAAGTAGCTTCATGAATAGAATTCTTGGTACTTTTCTTTCTGTTTCATCTCTGTAATTCCCCTGATTGATTTAAAGGGAGTTTCATACTTAGATTGTGCAGTTGCCTCTTGTTTTTTGAGGGAAGAAGTTTCATAGGAAAGAGAACTGCAGATCTGTGGACCTCAGTGGAAACAGGAGTAGGCTATGTAGCTAGCTGGGCTTTATTGATGGATCCTTTTGCTTCTCTCTTGCTGTTGTCTGGAGCTTCTTGAGATATGTACTCACTGGAAGGGGCAAGTCCAATTAAATCTCTGTGCTAAATTAACTGGAAGGCATTTCTTGGGTCATTGTGAGACTTTGCTATTGCAGGGATTGTGTGCTGTTTCACCTTTTTGATGTTACCTTCCTTCTCTGAGACTTCTCTAAAGAAGTATTTGCCAAAACCTGATGGGAACTAAAGTTGTCACGTCACAGAGCATACAACAGCCTACTATTTATTAGTAGTTGAGAAGAAGATACAGCCAAACACTTCTTCCCTTGAAGAAAGGTGGGGGCTGTGCTTAGGACCTTTCATGCGTGAAGGGGTCTCTTTGAGAATCTTTAAAAATCCTAGAATAGGTACCAATACCAATAGACACAGCAGCTTCTGTCAGTCTGGTTCTCTTGGACATGTAAAGGCCTGCTAATAACTTCTCTTGTGCTTTCTCTTGTTTCTCTCTCTGAACAATTGTTCATTTTCATATGTCCGAGAGGCAAGTCTAGGAGTCATGTGTCTGCCTGAAAGGAAAGATGGAATCTCGTGCTTCCAAATAATCCCATACCAAAACGTAATCTTCCAGCCAAAGCTGTGATCTAATCAATTGTTGTTTGGCTTGACGACTAGAACATCAGTTGGAATTTTCCTCACTACTTCTTTTTATGAACATGTATCATTCTGCCTCTGCCAAAGAAGCTGACTTGTTCTGTTGTCCTTGCTTCTGTTTTTACTGTATTAACAATTTTTCAAAAATATTTGAATTCCTAATGACATTACAGACAATTGAATTGTCTTAATTGAGTTTTGACCTTACATTTGCTTTTTGAGGGAATTCGTTTGGTGAAATTTTATCCCTGTTTTTTATTTCTGTGTATTAGTTGTTGTTGGACTTCCAAGCAGTTCCAGGATATCTGTTTGAGAGAACACTGTAGAATGAAGACTTCTGTCAGTCAGCTGTCATTGTTCATGTGGGGGTGGTTTATCTGCAGTCCATTTTATGTGGACACACTTTTAGTAAAGAGTGGATTTACAGATTGTAGAGTTTGTCTCACTCCTTACAAGATGTAGAAAATTTATGTATGTATAATAACATAAGTGTGAGGTGAAGAGACATACTCTCTTGAAGTGTAATAACATCACTCTGAAGATCACGGTTTGATTTGATTTTGGCCTCCTCTTCTCCAGTTTGGTTTCAAAATTTTTCCTAGCTATATAACCTTTCCCTCATGGTGAACAGGGGTGGAAAATTAGAATATTGAATAATTACTATTTTTCAACAGAGACATATACTTTATCTTGAGCAATTAATGTATGCTAAAGAGGTAGTTGTAATTTTAATTGGAAAGTTCAAAGATTAATTAATGGATTTGTGTTTGGCTTTTCACAGGGACAAGAAAAGAGACAAAGAAAAGGTCAAGGAAAAAGAAAAGGCCAAAGAAAAGGAGAGAGACCGAGACAAGGAGAAGGAGAGAGACAGAGACAAAGACAGGGAGAGAGAGCGAGATAAAGAGAGAAACAGGGAGAAGGACAGGGAGAGAGACAAAGAGCGAAACAAAGATCATCGAGAGAGAGTCAGAGACAAAGACAGGGATAAGGACAAGGACAAAGATAGGGACAGGGACAAGGACAGGGAAAAGGAGAAAGATAAGGAGAAGGAAAAAGACAGGGAAGAGGTAGACCAGCACAAGGAAAAAGAAGATATTGAGAAAGAAGCAGAGAAGGACAGAGAGAAGATTAAGGACAAGGAGGGAGATAAGGACAAAGGAGGGGACAAAGAGAAGGACAGAGACAAAGAAAAGGAAAAAGATGGGGATAAGGAGAAGGAGCGAGAAAGAGAAAAAGAGAGAGATGATAAAAAGAAGAAAGAGAAGAGATCCAGAACACCCCCAAGAAGCTATAGCTCTTCAAGAAGATCCCGTAGCTCCAGCAGGTTTGTTTAGATTTTTTTCCTGTCTTTTTTGACTTGCCATTTCAGTGAGGCACCATCCTTTTTTTTGTATCAGTACCAGTTTTTATGTATCAGTATCACCATGTCTCTTACTATTTAAATTGATATTATTTCTGTTTTGTAGATTTTCCTATAAAGTAAAAGCTATTACAGAGAGCTCTGTATGATGTCTGATAGAACATAGTTTCTTGTTGGGCTGCTGATGCTTGCCTTTCACATAACTATATAGTATAGTCCTTGAGGACAGTCAGTGGATGATTCTTGTGCCATTTCTTGGTGTTGGAGTCATCGAGAAGTTCTGATAAAGCAACATCACACATCATCTTTGTCCTCATGAAAGTTTGAGTCGTTGTTACATAGTTCCTTGGTTACTTACATACTGTTCAGTGTTGGTCTGTAGATCTTACGAACAGTTGAGTGATAGTACTTGCCACTCTTCAGCTGAATGGCTGAACAGCAGGAAGCAAGCATGTCACTTGGCTGGCTAACCATTCAGAAGGTGAATCAATCTTAGCTGGAGGATAAGGATACCTTCTTTAGCTGGTTAGATGGCCAGGTACAAGTAAAAAGTAACGTTCCTTAATGCTGATAGTAAACAGGAAAACATTCAAGGTAAGGTAGCTGTTGTTTTTGCCTCTGAGGGAATCTAAACTGGGTGGAAGTCCAGATAAATTCAGTACAGCAAAAGGAGGTTGTGAGATTGATTAAAAGCTCTGTAGGTGGACTAACTCCAGGCATATTCTAAAAGTGTTGTGGCTAACTTAAATTCAGAAGCTTTGGTGGAAAAAGTCCTTTCTGAATAACCTCAGGAATTAGGGAGTTCAGTAATATCACATGTCAAATTTAGATACCAAATTTTATCTGTTACCTTGAGAGAATGAAATGATGGATGAATTGGGAAAAGTTCTACGTATTATAATCATTTCACTGGACAAAAGCAGTATTCCCACAGTCCTCAAAATTCAGGAGTTCATGGTTCATACAAGGCAGAAAAGGGTGTAATGGTTTCTGAACATTCTGTTTGCCTTATATGAAATGTCCGTGTTGTTTTGGAGGTTTGCGGGCAAAATACTGTGGCTTCTTTAAGCATATGCAGCTTCCTATTTTAATGCATTTTTAACATTATTTCATGGGTTGAAGACCTTCACAGAGTTGAGGTAGTTCTGCCAGCTTTGAAAACATAACATTTTCTGTCTGTAGGCCTCAAGAGTGTTGAATGAGGTAAGTGTAGAAAAAAGATTTAAGATTTTGACAATGTGTAGTTTATATAAGAACCTTGGAGGAAGACCCAGTCCCTAATGTCAAATAGCAACTGTAGTTAGCTGGATGTTTCCAAAAATTCATGCTCTAGTTTGCAACAATCATGCTTCCCTTTTAGGATCTTGCTATTTAAGAAAGTGCCATGGAAGGCTCAAATGGGTACTTGGACAAAGAATTCTAGTGAAAATTAGTGCATCTCTCCTAGTGGACTCCCAGTACAAAACCTTACTTTGATATGAAGTTAATGTTTTTTGTACAGATGTTACTAAACAAAGACAATGTTCTTTTGAAGATGGAGGATGAGAGAAATACACTTTTTTGTATGGATTCGCAGTTCTTTCTTCAGATATAGCATTATCCTTACAGTATCAATACTAGGGCCAATACTGTTGAACATCTTCATCAGTGGCCTAGACAGTGGGACAGTGTGCACCCTTGGCAGGTTTGCAGACAATACAGAACTGGGGGGAGAGGCTGGTACACTGGAGTGGCAGTGTCCTGCCATTCAGAGGAACCTCGACAGACAGAAAAAACCGGCTGACAGGCATCTCATGGAGTTGAACAAAGAGAAAGACCAAGTCCTGCACCTGGTCAGGAATAACTCCATTGCACCAGTACAGCATGGGGGCTGGCTGGCAGAAAAGGACCTGTGGGTCCTTGCAGCCAAGAAGGCCAGCGGTATGCTGAGCTGCATTAGACAGGGTGTTGTGAGTAGGTCAAGGAAGGTGATTCTTTCCATCTCCTCAGCACTGGTGAGGCCGCATCTGGAGTCCTGTGTCTGGTTCTGGAGTCCCCATTACAAGAGACACACAGACATACTGTAGTGAGTCCAGTGAAGGGCCACAAAACTGATAAAGGGCTTGGAGCATTTGTCATACAAGGAGAGGCTGCGGGAGCTGGGATTATTTAGCCTGTGGAAGAGAAGGCTGAGGGGGCATCTTATCAATGTGTATGAGTACCTGGTGGGAGAGTGTGAAGAAGACAGAGCCAGACTTCTCAGTAGGGGCCAGTGACAGGCTAGGAGGCAGTAGGCATATATTGACATATGGGAAATAAAGGCTTTTTCATTTAATGTTTAAATTGTGTTGTCTGATGTTTAATTTGTGGGGTTTTTTCTGGGCAAGTTGGAACCAGTTACCATGAGAGATTGTGGAGTCTCCATCTGTGGAGATACTAAAAATCTGACTGGATGTGGCCCTGAGTAACCTGCTCTAGTTGACCCTGTTTTAAGGTGGGGGAGGGAGAGTTTGGACTAGGTGGTCTCCAGACGGCTCTTCCAACCTCAGTAATTCTGTTACCCTCTGAAAACTGATTGTGAATAGGTTGGGCTACAGAGTCCCAGTTAGCTTGCATTTAGGGGTATCTCTTTACTTTAGTGATTGATGTTGCCTAGTTGAAATGGTTACAAACCTTTCCGGAGAAGATTACCCAACAAACTGGCACTTCAGCTGCCTGGATTTACAGTGTAGCACTGAGTTGGGACTGCTGATTCCTTTACCTGACGAGTTTAAATATTGGACAAATAGTCATGTTGGAGACATTTGGAGAAGAGGTGAAGGTGCAATAGGACATAGAGGACCTTTTGAGAACTAGGTGGCAGCTGACTTTGCTTTACTGACAGACAGCATGCAAGTACTAGGAGTCAGATGGCTATTTGTGATTCCTAGCTGAAGGAAGAGACGTAGACCAGAGGAAGAGGAGGATCTGGCTCCTTTTCCAACAGACTACAGGCTGGCAGAGGAGATAGGTATGGAATATTAGTTCTGTGCGTATTGAGAGACACAGGATCACTATCAAAGTATTCAGACTTGGGTTTTTTTCTTAAATTTTGCTGTATTAGTATTGCTTAAGAGCATTAAAACAGGTGCACAAAAATCTTGGTATGACAAATGTAATAGAGATGGGAAAACACTGTCAGACACAGTTGTAGTTCTTCGATTTGAAATATGAAAAGCAGAAACTGAAAGTTAGATTTCATGAATAAACAGTTTCTAGTTCGAACACATTACTAAGGCCCTTGGTTACTCACAGATATACATGCTGGAAAGCAAAATAAAGTGGGGATGTACTCAATGTAGCCCAACTTGGGAGCACTGTCAGAGTAATGTATCAATTTCCAGTATCCTCATTTGAAAAAAGGTGATGATAAATGTGAAGATGTTCGAAATGAGATTCATGTTAACTAGTGAACAGCTGATCAGTGATTGTGTTATTTCTCCATGATTTTGAGGCCACTTTATATTTTTATTTACCAAAGATTGAATCAAGAGCTTGCTGAACGAAATAGTTATGAAATTTTGTCCTGTGGAGCTTCAGGAGGTCACAGTAGATGGTATTGTCAATCTAGATAGTGATACTAGGCATATCTTAAGATATCCTTCTGTAATTTATCTAGTAACTGTCGACTTCTTGGCCTTTCTAAATATTGAACAAATAAATACGCACACCTAATGGTGTGAATTGCAAAACCTGGTATGCGTAAGCGCATAGCTTTTGTGCCGTATCTTGAAGTGCCCTCTCGATTAGTTTTTAACCTCCCTGTTTTTCTTTGATGGTTCATCCTGTCTGCTTTTCCTGCTCTATGAAAAGGTGATAGGAAAAAATTGTCTTACTTTGACAGAGATAGGTCCTAAGTTTATGTTGAATGGACCTTCACTGGTTCAGTTTTTGCTTTATTTTAACATGTGCCTCAGCATGTTTGCAACCGGTTACTTAATGCTTTGTTCTATTCAAGATCAGACTCCATAATAGCAACTTCAGCAAATTCTATACATCTATGTAAAACAGCTGTTTTGTAAAATACTACGAGCTCTTCAGTGTGTTACAGAATAACATTCTGTTTGCTGAGCAAGGACTACTAGGAAAACAACAGATACTAACTTATTTATTCTGATTTTGACAACAGCTTGAGCTTCATGTTGCACTGTTTGCTTCTAAACCATAGGAATGCTAGCTCATGTATTTAGGAATTAAGCTTCAGCCAGGCTGAACTGAAATTACTGTGGTCTCCAGGTTGTAATGTTATGTTTTGAAGTTTGTATTGTTCAGGTTACGCCTTTTGTCTTAATGTGGCTCTTCATTCAACTGGATTCTTTTCCTGAATGAAGAAACTCTTACTTAATACAGGATTAGTGAATTTGGTGTATTTCTATTGTTAACAGGTATAAGTACAAGCATGTGAGGATAAACAAAAAAATAAAATCTGAAAGGGCACAACCTTTTTTTTCCCCACTTCCAGCCTCCCCTTTCCTACCAAACTGAAACATATGAAAAATTTTTTTTCTACTTGTACAGTTCATATATTGTTGGTGATATATAATATTAAATTCAGGATACTTAGTTGTTGTGTCAGATCATTTTAAGAGCTTTCTGTTTTTATCTGGTTCCTAAGTTTATTATTTTTATTCTTTGATGATCTTGAATTTCTTGGTCCTGTAGAGAAAGGCGTAAAAGGAAGAGCAGAAGTCCCTCCAAGTCTCCTAAAACATCCAAAACAACAAAAAGAAAGTCTTCACGAACTCCTTCTCCAAGAAGGTCAGTTTGATGTAAACATAAAAGTTAATGAGCAGTAAACGAGGAAGAATTTACAGTATTTTCATTGTTTTAACTGCCTTTGCACTAATCAGCTCAAATTATTTCCAGTGGTTGGTATGATTCAGTTTTAATTTAAAACAAAACAAAAACAAAACAAAAACCTTCATGGATTTGAGCTTTGGTATGCTTTCAACTAGAGAATTTCAAATCTGTGAGCAATGCAAATTTGCTTCAAGTCAGTAAAAACCCTTCATTGGATACAGATTAATCTGTTTTTTTCTTTGCAAATACCATGTGTACTGAACACATGCATTCCTTAGCTCTCTTCAGTCAAAAAATCCCCTTGTCTTTATGAAGGGGTTTTTATGATGGTTTGGGTTTTTTTGGAAAACCCACAGATGAGAGTTTACTTTGCAGTTAAATGGTTTGAAGGTTGTTGCTGTTGGATCAAATTCTTATTTGAGTGAAAATTTTCTTAAATAGAAACAAGAAAGAAAAAAAGAGAGAAAGAGATACAAATAATGAAAGAAGAGAAAGAGAACGCTCCACCTCCAAGAAAAAAAGTAGTAAAGAAAAAGAGGGAAAGGAGAAATCTGACAAAAGCACCACTACTTTGAAGGTAAGCTGTGTGACCAAGTGATAAGCAGAGCGAAGTGGTGCTAGTGGAGCCATTATTGAAATTCCCTCCCTTCTTTTTCTTTCTTTTCCTCCTCCCTTCTTTTTCTCCCATTTTCCTTAGTAAATTATTACCATTTGGGTTTCGCTTTTGCTGGTTGGAGACCTACCGTTGGTGTTAGTGGGCCAGTTTGTAAGTCTCTGTCTTCAAACTTTACTGGACCTATAGGAGCTTGTGCGAATGGGTTACGGAAACACTTGTTTTGGTTTCTCTTTCCTGTTCTGTGCCATATGTTGGGACTTGGCTGGCTGCCTATCTGTATGAGCAAGCAGGAAGCAGACACTGCGACTAAGGAGCAGCATTCAGGGGCAGCTTGACTGTCAAGCTGAAAAGATTACTTTTTTAGTAAATTTTCA